ATATATATATATATATATATATATATATATATATATATATATATATATATATATATATATATATATATATATATATATATATATATATATATATATATATATATATATATATATATATATATATATATGCGTCGCCCACCTTTATAAATTATATATTTAAAATTTGTGCGTAATGCTTTTTACATTGGTTTGAGCCCCCGGCTGGGTCAGTTGGCATTTCTGTTTAAAGTTTGCATGTTCTCTCCGTGTTCACATGGGTTTCCTCTGGGTGCTCAGATTTCCCCCACAGTCAAAAGACATGTGAGTATAGATGAATTTGAATAAACTAAATTGGCCGTAGTGTATGAGTGTGAATGCAAGAGTGTAATTTGTGCAAGAGTGTGGCTGTTTCCCAGTTTTGGAAGGGCATCCGCTGGATAAGTTAGCAGTTCATTCCGCTGTGGTGACCCCAGATTAATAAAAGGACTAAGCTGAAAAGAAAATGGATGAATGAATTTTTTAAATAAAAAAATATATATATTTATATTATAACAAAAAACATATTTTACTATTATCTATTAACTATTGACAATTTATTAATAAATAGTATGTTTTTATATCTTTTTTTCTCAAGTTTAAGCATATTAGCATGTGATTTTAATGTAATTTTGGAGTGAGAAGAAAACATTTAGTAAAGGAACAGCTCACAATCAAGCTGAAAAAGATATGTTTACTAAAGCATAATATTAGCTATGTTTGTGAATGTTTAGCCTTGCCACCTTTTAAAAATAATGCAGATACTTGTATTCTTGTCTTATGATAATTTCCAACATCATCATACATAACAATACTATACTGAAAATTACCGCAGTGACTCTGTTTACACACACACACATAATCTCACAATCCACATGCAACTGCAAATGTCCTCAAAGAACTCTATAAACATAACCATAAAAGTTCTCAGTGAAGTGCAAAAAATATTTGTCTCTACATTTCTGACCAGTGAACTACAAATTCCCAAGAATACACAAACACTGCTTCTAAACAGCCTCAAAAACAGAGTAAAGAGGAACTGGCATGTGAGTCAAAAAGTGGACATGCGCTCAAAAGTGACCTACTTCCAGAAGAACTGGCCTGCGGTACTTTGCGGGTTGTAAAAGAAAGCGTTACCAAATCATCTAGCAAGACAGATATATCAGACATCCTGACAAATACTACAACATTATTAGAACAGTGCTTGCTGCTTGTTTCCCTTCTGACACTTAAACACATAATTTTATTATGTTTTTATATTTAATTAAAACAAAATTAGCAGAAGTTGAGGAAATGGAAAAAATGACACATGCACTTCGATCACAAATAGAGATATAATTAAAGCAAAATAGAAATTGTATGTGTATAGACTCAATATAATTGTTTTTGGTTAAAAAAAAGTCAAACCTCAGCTAATATGTCTGGAGAAACAAACTCACGTGTGTTTTAATTTGTTTGTGTAGCTGATATGTGTTTGTTACACAGGCTAGTGCCACATTCCAGCACTGTGCCAATCTCACCTACCTGACTTCAGGAAAGCGGCGGGGTCACTGCGGTCTTTGCTGGTTGTTTTGGACTTGAGCTTGATGAAATAACATCACAGAACTGCACTTCACCGCCTGAGATCACCTTAAAAGGAAACTAGGTTACAGCATTTGTTGAGAACATCTTAACCAGCGACATTCTTCAAAATATATTTTGAGTAACTATAAACTGTGAAATATTGGAAACAGAGAAAGTTCTGGTACCAGCTATTTCATAACATCTGTGAGGATTTAGGATGATGACCACCAGAGAGAAAGAGTTCGAGGAAGTGGAGGGTTCTCTCGTCCTCGTTTATTTTTATCGTAAACTTTATGACACGAGTGAAATTTTGTATAATATGTCTTGTATAATATATTATGTATTGATTCAATGTAGTTCACTTATTCAGAATGTATTCAAAGCAATCATGGAATTAGATTTTTTGTCGTGTGGCTGTTTACAAAATATTTACAAAACTTACACGTTAGACAGTTTTGTTGTTTGCAGTATTAAATTAATTATAAATCCTTTAATTCTAAAGTGAATCGTTTAAGTGACTGATTTGAATGACTCGTGTTGTCGACTGCATAACTAACTTACGTAGGATATGCACAAAACATCGCTGTTGTAGCCTATTACATAAACAGTGTCTATCGTAAACTTATTTTTAAGTTTAGTAAAAGATACCACGTTTTTATAGAACCTGACTTACAAGTTTTGGACGCTGAATGTTTCCTGATGTAAATGTTTGACGTTCTCCTCCTTTCATCGTCATTTTTATCCCTGACTGACACAGACCGGATGCTAGGGTTCCCGCCTTTGTAAGAACTCTATATAGTGGTAATTTTGTAATTTAAAATGTACATGAAAACTAATAGCAGTTGCATTCAGCATTGGAGAAATTTACCTTAGTTGCAAAACTGAAGACTAAAAATAAAGTGGCTGCAAAAACAGATTAAAACTAAAGAAATAAGTGTATTCTTACTATAGCAAATTGTTAAATGATGATAACTTAAAAACTTAAAAGTTAGTGAATATTTTAGGCAACAATAAACTCTGCAAATAGTTAGGCATACTATAACTAATAATAGTGCTCAGTAATTCATTTGGGTATGAGTATTTCAAAATGCAAGCTAACCCAATTAAGAGTATAGGAGTTTTAGAATCTGGGTAGGGTTGCACCAACTGTTCATAAGTTCTTTCTTAAACTGGAAAACCCTAGTCCTCAGTAGGGGCTTAGTAACTACTAGTTTGTTTGTAACTAAATTAGTTCTCAATTCGGTTGCACCACATGTTCTTAGAGCAAACATAGTTAGTGGGTCGTAAGCAGGTCCGGCGCAACCATAGAGGCAACCAGTTTTTATTTTCGGGTTGATTGTCCTTTTCCTAGAACGGTAGTTCATTTTGCTCTGGCCCTGGCCGTAAGCTCTACGTAAAGTAATGCATAGTCGCATTGAATGGCATAATATCCAAATAAAAGCACTTAAATCGTTAAACTGCTTTAAAATTTCAAAACTAATGCATCATATAAAACTGTCCTATGATAATTAAATGACAAATTACGTTTTTATAGCACATTCAACTACAGTGAGTCACTAATAACAGACGATGCACACACCTGCCTCGCGAGCTGTGAATGCACGCGAAATACACAGTTTTTAAAACATTAAACTATTTTTTTATATAGAAAGAGAAACGAGCAGGAAGAAAAACTCAGTCTTGAATAAATTCTCATTTTAATTACTATTAACACAAAACACTCCTTGATAGAAAATAAAAACCGAAAACAAATGTGTGATTTGGGAGGAAAATAAGGCTGCGAGTAGGAGGAGATCCTACTTCATTATTATTGTGAGCTTCTCAATGTAAACTGATCTCGAGGTCATATCTTTTCTACTCTTATTCATGGGGGGATGCTGTCGCAAATATTTAGTTGGAACGTAGCGTTACGTTTAAACTAAGTTCGGTGGTGCAACACAAAAAATATTTAGTAATGTGTAAGATGTAAATTACTATCCCTTTAAGTCACAACTCGGTTTTGTTTGCTTGTTGTAACAAGTGAGTTGGTATATAACAGAGGGCCCAAATGCAGTTTTTTACTCATGCAAAGTCAAGCAGGCAATGGTCAAAACAGGAACAAACAGTATCATAAGGATAATACAAAATCATCATCGTGGTCACAGGCAAAGAGGTCAAAAAAGGTGATAAAACAACATAAATAAGAAATGGCAAGAATCCAGAAACAAGGCAAGGCTAGACAATAAAATACTTTGAAATGTTACAGCAAACAAGAAACAACAAGACTCAGCACTGTGTGTGAAAGTGTGGTGTATAATTAGTCCAGCATATCAGTCCATGATGAGCTTCAAGCTGTGTGTACGTAATTAGGGGTGATCCGGAACTGATGTGTGAGTGAGATGCCTGATGGGAAATGTAGTGCAGTTTGGTGGCAGAAATGTAATTCAGATGATAGTAAATGTTTCCAGCGATCTACCAGTGCCAGATTGCTGGTGATCTTATTACTTATACTGCCATCATGATAGATTTTAAAACCTCAGGACTGAATTAAGCCTACCTACAGTCTTCAGTCTGTAATACAGATGAATTAAGGGATTTTGATATTCATTATTATAAGTATTAATTCAATTGCATTAATTAAATGGTTAAAAAACAGTGCCAGACACTTTAAAACGATTATTCAAACGAATTTAATAGCCATTTATCAAAATACATAATTATTGTGAAAATGTTTTAAACAACTTCAACAACTGTCTTTACAAAAGCGTTTTGCAAAGACCACTGTGAATGGTGTATTTATTGTGATCAACAATATCTCAGATGAACATAAAGCACTTAGTGTCAAAAACTTTCAGCAGTGTATCCTAACAGAATGGCACTTTGATGCTTAGTGTAAAATATCATGAAGTTATTAACAGTGAATTAATTTCCCTAAGATACAATAATCTATTGCTCTTTACTGCATTTCTCTTTTAACAGATTTTAATTGTGCTCTTCTTTTTTACATTGTCATCCAGCAGTTGAAACTGAAGGACTCTTCAGTTGCCATAATTCTGCTTCTTTTGAGCTTGTCCTTCATATCTCTCCTCTGGTTTCATCTCTGCCATTGTCACTGCATGAGGATTTGAGGTTCAATGTTAAAAAGCAGATCGTCATTACCGCGCCGAACCTCCAAAAGGAGGGGCATGTCCACCTGAATCGCTTCCTGCAGTTCTCCAGTGTTCATTAATGGATGGCCGTTTAGTTTCACTATAATATCACCTGATTCAAGCCCACCCCTGTGAACACGAACCAATAAAGGGAGAATTTAATGTTATTAATCTTAAATTAGAATATTTGATTTATATATATATATATATATATATATATATATATATATATATATATATATATATATATATATATATATATAATTGAAGTCAGAATTACTAGCCCCCTGAATTAGCCGCCTGTTTAATTTTTTTCCCCAATTTCTCTTTAACGGACAGAAGATTTTTTTAACAAATTTCTAAACATAATAGTTTTAATAACTCATTTCTAATAACTTAATTATTTTATCTTTCCCATGATGACAGTAAATAATATTTTACTAGATATTTTTCAAGACACTACTATACAGCTTAAAGTGACATTAGACCTTAATTTTGACCTTAAAATGGTTTTTTAAAAAATTAAAAACTGCTTTTATTCTAGCCGGAATAAAACAAATAAGACTTTCTCTAGAAGGAAAAACATTGTGAAAATGTCCTGGCGTGTGCTAAACATAATTTGGGAAATATTTAAAAAGTAAAATAAAATTTGGATAAAAAGGGGGGCTACTCATTTATAATTATACTCTCTCTATCTATCTATCTCACTAAGAGAGAGTGAGAGAGAGAGACGCGCGCGCGCGCGCGCGCGCGCGCGCACATATATATATATATATATATATATATATATATATATATATATATATATATATATAAATATATGTGTGTGTGTGTGTGTGTGTGTGTGTGTGTGTGTGTGTGTGTATACATATATATATATATATATATATATATATATATATATATATATATATATATATATATATTACTTTGTAACAGCATTAATAAATATTAAATAAAATATTACAAAAAGCTTTTTTCTTTATAGATCAAACACAAACATACTTCTGAGCAGGGGAGTCTGCGATAACTTCATGAACAAGAATCCCACTTCCAATATCAGGAAAGGCTGGATTATGCCATTTCAATTCATGGACTAGGCTGAGGAAAAGAAGAGAAGTTGACGAATAAGAGAGATGAAAGATGTTCAATAAATGAAATCAGCTTATTTTGTAAACTTGGCAATATTACACAAGGTTAACAGAATGGATGCCTATTGAGATAACATACTTCTCTGTTAAAGTGACCATTTTGATTCCAATAAACCTTTTCATGGGGACATTTACGTCTGGAAGAGAAATGCTTAGTTTTAGATATTTTTACAAAGTCATTGTGCATTTAAGTCATGCTGGAAAGATTATATTTATAATATTAATGCACATAAGAACACACAAAGTTGTAGATTCAACTAGAAAACTCAAGATTTCCTTTGTTTCTGAGTTGGCATTTGTTAGTGAGAAAACATGGATACACAAGGCAATGATGCAGGATACAATGAATATGATGTTGGCTGTAAAAGTTAAATAAGCTACATATAAAATATGATGTAAAGTGTACTGTAGGCTATATAATGATTCTGTCAGATATTAAAGAATGACAAAAATAGCAAATCTGGGGGCGTATCAAAGAAAGATTCTCATCTTAGGTCTTAACTGAAGATATGGTAGGCTATGTTAAATTAGGATTTTTTGCAAAATTGTATTACAGCAAATCTTAACTCGATTTGTATTCTTATCTTATAAATTCATATCTGAACTCTAGTTAGGAAATCAAAATATTGTGCCATCAAGTTCTATCTGTTCTGTTATTAAACAACTGACACTGCTAATGAGTTTGCCAAAAAAAATATAAACAGTTTGTATAAAAAAAATGTATTGTTAGTCTCAGTAATGCTGGTTGTAGTTCCTCTGCTAACTGTCATAGCATCTTGTGAAGCAGTCTGTAATAACTTGTGTGTCTCTAGCCTTTTTACCACAGAACATCTTTGTTTTTCATATTCTATTCTCACTCAATGTAATTCCATTGTTTGACAACATAATTACAAGTGTTCTATTTTTTATCTTTTTTCATTAGCTGTTGAATTTATTTATTTTTTTTTTGCCAGGGTATGTTTCTGTCTGTAGTTAAGATAAGATAAATTACTGCTATGTAATGATTTTGTATCAAATGAGGTCCTAACTTAAATTATCATGGTTACCAAAAGTTAGGATCTTTCTGTAACACGATGCATGTCATGATTTTGCCAAGTTCAATGCGATTTTTATTCGAAAATGTAATCCATATCTATTCCCTACCCCTAAACACAAGCACAACTGTAAATTATTCGAAAATCAGAGGGGACTAAAAGTTGGACAACAAGCTTAACATAAACAGTAAATTGTGATTGGCTGATTGGAATGTTGTTCCAGGATGAACATAGGATGTTGATCCAGGAACATGTCCTACACAGTGAAATCAAGTTATGATGCACGTTCTTATTCTTCTTATAGAAGTAAATTTACAACTAACAAATAATAATTTCTATTTATAATTTTTAAATTAGCAATCTCCAGAGCTGCAAAAAGTTATATTTTATCAGCGGTTAGCTAGTAGCATGTGTGGAGCAAATTCATGCAAAGCAGTTTTTATTTATGCTTGTTAAACAAGTTAAAAACCCAATTCAGCATTCTGACATTTACTAGTTTAGTAATTGGATAACTGAATTATATGGCAGACCAGCTGCTGTTTCTGTTGTAACTTGCATGTTTGTTGTCATCAGGCCAGCAAGATGACTAACTGCAAGCTAGCAAAGGGATGTTTGCTAGCATTACCTCACCTGAGGCAGTCCTCATAGCTTGAGACTGCGTGTAGTTTGTCCTGACTACCCTTTGCTTGACTGAAATCAAAGTAAAGAACACCAAGGATGTGTTTGTTTTGTAGCCATTTTTTTTCAGTAAGAAAAAACATAAGAAATGAGACTCCTAAACATTGTTTAATCCATATGAGCAAATGTGAATGAGCATTATTTTTTGTGCATTCATTCAATTTAAATTTCTGTAAGCTAACAATTGATTTAATTAAGTAATTTTGAATGTCAACATAAAAATAAACATTCACAATTACTGCATTACTCTACCTTTCTGCTGTTTGTCATTAGATTCATCAAGGAACTTGTTGATTCGGTCTGACGGAATGGCAAAAGAGATCCCTGCAGTCACTTTTAATGTGTTTATTCCAATCACCTCACCATCCTAACATGACAGAAAAATGACAGGTATGTAAAAGAAAAGGTAATTGTGTCTAACCAGTGTCCTCTTATGGGGTGTTCACAGTTCTAGTACTGATCCTTAATGCAGACCAAAAACAAAATAACATTTAATCCTGATTTGTTTATCAATCACGCTGTAGTTTTTAAGACAGAAATTAAAGATGCAAATATTTATAC